CCGGGGCTTTCCCGCCTCCTGCCCCAGCCCGGGCCCGGCCCCCGCCGGCCGCGGAGGCGTTTGGCGGTGCCTGCGGGCGGGGGCGGCCCGCTGAGAGGGCTCGGCACCCAGCGCTGAGTCTCCTTTTAAGCAAAAGGCCTTTTTGCAGAATGGCAGGTCGCGCCTTGCAGCTGCAGGGCTTCGTTGCTAACTACACAGATGTTCCTACAGCCGCGCTTCAGGCCGTTGTTTATCAGCTTGAGCAGACCCAGATGACTAAACGCCCTTTACCTTTCCCAGATTTATATTGTCCCACTCTTAGTCACAGGCACACGCAAAAAATCTGCATGCATTTGCAAGCCTCCGTACAAAACGAAGCACGCACGGGAGTACATACGGACGTACACGTGTACGCAGCCATTCTCACAGGTACAAGGCAAGGTTATTAATCCATCCGGCTGGAAAATTTATTTAGGTACACGAGCCTTTCATGTCCTTCTGATAGAAACTCAGTGAGCCTCCGTGGAACGTCTGGATTTAGACCTGGTGCTCTGAGTTGAATTGAACGTGTTTCAGTTTAAGCATTTAATAGAGAAAGCGATCGGTGCTTGTGGAACAGGGAGGGTAATAAGTACATCTCTCCTGAAGGAAAGTATGAAGGAGATTGGGTAAATGAAAAGCTGCGTGGCAGGGAGGTAGGAGGTCCCCACCTTGTCATCTCATCTCCTCCGCAGCTACAGCTGCTGCTCTCGGATGATCTGACTAATCTATGTTCTTCCTAGCTAGGAACAGTGCATAGTGCCTGCCCCAAAGAAATTGTCGTGTAACCCAGACACACGGCTCTAGACTAGTACCGAAATAACAAAGCAGGAAAATACATGCATTAGGGTTTTTTTCCGCCTTCTGTTTCGTAAGCCCCTCTGGCCAGCTTCTCAGGCGTAGCTGCTATCGGCATTCAAGCCCTGGTTTGGTTCAAGTACCCCTCTCGTCTGCAAGAAGAAAATGTTAATTCCTGGAGCTACGCCCAAAAATAGGAGCCAAAACAATCTATAAAGTGGCCAGATGTTGTTCCTCTCTGCTTCTGCTTGTCAGGAGACGCGTGGCTCGTGGCTCTAATGTTCTCTCCACCAATCCAGGTTTTTCATCCTTTCCTTCACAGGCTCAGCTACTGAAAATGCAAAACTACCCCAACACGCGTCCCTTGGCAGAGACGTTTTCACCTTAATGCACAAACAGGCCTTGACACGACATCCTAGAGGGGAGAAAGCGAGGATTATATTCGGTGATGTCGCTGTGCCCGAAGCGCGGTGTTGACAGAGACGGCACACCCACAGATGCAAACAAACCCTTCTTTGTGCAAGGGAAGCCCGTTTCCAACAACCTGTAGGATGGGGCCGCTCGGTCAGCTCCACAGGCTGCTGTGCCACCTGTGACCTCTCCCTTTGCCCCAGCACCGGCAGCGTGCAGCCTCACATTTTCCCTTCCACGCTCCCCACCGCGTCGTCTTTGCAATTTTGACCTCATCCATTGCTTCTCAGCTTTTGCCTCCTACCTGTGTTCTTGGCAGCATTCTTCCCGTGGCCCTCCCCTTGGCTTCCCTCTGCGACATCCTTTATCCCGCGTACAAAATTCATCTCGTGCCTCCCCCCCCCTTCATTTTCCACAGGTCCCATTTTGCCCTGCAGGCCTGCATCGAGTATGTTTTTCCCCTTAAAGCCTATGTGAAACTCTTCTTTGTGCCTTGTGGCATGCCTTCTTCTCTATCCCAACTCTTCCTGCTCTTCAGATCCCGATGGTGGGATTCCCTTGACTTCAGCCCCGAGGGCATCCTTCAACCCTCTCACCTACCTCTTCCCCATGTCTTCTGCTCCTCTCTGCCGCTCTGCGTTTCGTCTGCCGGCTCCATGCGCAGCTTTTCTCCGCTCCCCTCTCCCATCTGCGCTTTCCCCTTTGTTGCAAACGCGAGTGTGCTCATTGTGCGGTCTGCAGATGCGAGTCCCTTTTCGGTACGTTCTGTCATCTTTGCCTCAAGTTGCTTTGCCAACTCAGCAGAATATATTCCATCCTTTTCGCAGTCTTATGTCCTTAGATGAAATGAGGGAGGTGCAGAAGTTGCATGATCTGTCATCATTTGGGAGCCCAGACAATATGCATGTCTCTCTGCAGCCCAGAGAACAATATGAATGTCATTTTCTCTGTACGAGAAATTACAATTTTTGTGCTGTACGCTGTTTGTGCTTTGTGTTTATGCAGGCGCGCGCCTGTCTTTAGGTGCAGTCCATCCCTATTTGTCTACAGCGGTGATATTTTCTCTCTGTTACACGAATTTACTTTTGTGAGCGTAGAAAGCACGGCGCTTTTCTGCTGGGGCACGCGTTAAGCTTGCATGTGTGCGTCTTGATACGCGAGCACGTGCTTGCGTGTGTGCCTGGGCTTTCACACGCGGTCTGTGTTTTTCTGCTTCTAGCCGATGCAGGGTGCGTGCACCTAGAAGCAAATATCGATGTGTTTTGTTGCAATACCTTGCTGGTGTTGTCACTGTATTCGGGGCGGGGACTTTGTAGTTTATGTTGAAGGCTGAACTAACTCGGAGCTGTTTTCTGAGCAAAACACCATACTGGGTATTTCGAGACTTTTATTTTGTGAGCTAACTCATCAGCGGTTCCTAAACTCTTCCAAACTGGTTGCTGAACAACAAACGAGCAGAAGGTTGTCTATTTGTATTAACTTTTCTTAGATTTACATGAATTCACAGACAGAAACTACCTGTCCTTTTACTTACAGTGAAGCTAGCGAGGTCTCAATGTGCAGAGGGAATGCGTTTGAATGCATTTATGTACTTAATCCACACTGTTCATCTTTCTGTCCCGTGTCCATGACAAACCCAGGCAGATAATCGGGTTTGTTCTCCTTTTGTGACGCTGTATCCTGCAGTCAAGAGGAAATACCCCAAGAATTCAACCACCAGCCAACTTTGCATTGGGAAATGGCTTCCTGAGAGGCAACACATTTAAATAAGCACTGCGGAGGGCTGGGAAGCAGGGTAGGGAAGGCGATGAGAGGAAGCCAGAGGAGTAGAAGAGAGCGACGAGGGGTGCTGCAGCCCGTCAGAAGATTGGAAAGGGGAGGGAGGTTTTGAATTGTGATTTTCGTGAACCTCTCTTTGCTAACGCAGCACAGATGGAGGTCGCGGTTCTCGCTCACAGTGTGACAGACACATTCTTAACACGAGCAAAATATTCTGAAAGTAATCGCTGCCGCGCAAGGCAAGCTGCAGGCACCACAAGCCGGCTCCGGCATCCCAAGCACGAACTGTCACGTTTGAGGATCAGATCGGAGCTGTCCTTCACTCAGGGTGCCCTTCATCTGAGATCAGAGTTTGTTGTTGGGCGAGGATTACGTAAGAGGCACAGATGAAGGGAACCAATGAGGAAATGGCTGTGGGTAGCTCTGACTTGTGATAACGAGGTTTTCTTTGTCTTACAGGCGTCCACAAGAGCCCTGGAACATTTGGAGGCATTAAGAAGCTGTTTCTGTCTTCCCGGCCGGAATGATCGGTCCCTGACAGCAGCAGGTAACGAGGCATGATTTTTCACCGTACTCTTTATTTACCTTCACCACATGACACCGGGTTTGCTTTTAAAATGCTTCCACCGTGGCCGCCCCGGGTTTGGCTGGCCGTGCCGCTGAGGGCGATGGGGATGCCGGGGGGAGGTGGCCCGGCAGCAGCCGGCGGTAGGCGGGAGAAGGTGGAGTTGAGAGCAGCGACGCCATTCACCCCTCTTCCATTTTGCCCTTCGCTCACCTCCTCCTGGGTCCCCGCTGAGCTCCTTCTTCCTCCCCTTCCCCCATCCTCCACCGCCTCCAGCACAACCTGGGCAGCTTAAAAAAAAGAAAGGAAGGAAACTGGAGAGATGTAGTTAACGGCTTTTACGTGGTAAACAGAAGCGGCCTAAATAGAGGCTGTGGCAGGAGCGAGATGCTTTTCCTTCACACCCTCACGTGCTTCGTTATTCTAACCTGGCAAATGGCCGCCCCTTTGGTGCACGTTAGACGCGACGTGGTGAGTGCTCTACAGAAACCTCTCCTACAAACAGCGCAGGGATACAGCTTCTGCGTTCCTCAGAACTGCGGGCTTGTCCATGTTCCAGAAAAACCGGTGCCGTTTCCAATTCCTCCTTCCAGGGTTTCACCCAGCGTTAGCCAGCAGCCCGCTTCTTTGCAAGCTCGAGTCCCTCAAGAGCTGCTGAAGTGCTCGTATCCCTGGTACTGCGGGCGTTGGTAACATCAAGCGTAAGGACTGCCCCTAAGGCTACAGAAATCCCCAGTAAGACTCACAGCTTCAGCCCCCAGTCTCGTAAACTCAGCCCTTTGGGTCGCAGGCCGCTTGCAGAAGAGCAGCACGAGGGACAGAAAAAGGATCCGCAAAGTAGTATTTTGTTCCAGACTCCATTCTGTTCCTTCCCCGTCTCTGCGTTTGGAAGGCAGCGACGCCTGACTTGGTATTTGGAAAAAACTGAGGAAGTCCCACCATCTGTAGGACGTTCCAGGAGCGGGAGGATCACTGGTATCTGGGGGACAGCGAGTGATTTTCTCCCAGATCGGGGGGAAAAAGAGAAACAACAAAAAAAAAGATGCTTACGTTCTTGCTCAAGGAGCTCTTTACCTGCCTTTGAATCCTGCCGCTCGAGGTCAGCTCCGCGTACTCTCATCAAACCCCAGGGGAGCCGCAGAGCAAAAGGGAAACACACCAAGCAGGAGAGGCTTTCCAGACTGGCGGTCGCCAAAGGATGATTCGGGGTTGCAAAAGAAGAGGCGGAGAGGCTGAGGCAGCGTTGGCAGAGGCTCTGTATGAACTTCGGTGCCCGCAGATCAGCTCTGAGCTGGCGACGGGAGAGTGTTTCGGCAGTTCCAAGCATTGCCAAGTCCCCTATGTGTTCCACCACGGAAAGCGCGCTACCGGCTCGTTTTACTCTGTCAGACTCCAAAATCCAAGGACGTGGCTCCTGCCACAACCCAGGCGTTGGATTTCTCAACCGCCTCTTGCAACCTGCTGTTTCCAGTCTTCTGGCACGGGTTTAGCCTGGCTCCTGCACGCCGCGGGCGGGATGCAACGCTCGGCTAAAACATGGCTAAGGAAGCCTGCGCCGGACTCGAGCGGGAACGAGTCAGTCCGCTCTTTCTTCTAACCCAGCACAGCCGGCC